CTTAATCAACTACAGATAGAGGCCTCATTAGAGACGCTTTTGACTGCTACTTTTGTTTTTCATTACCGGACCACACAGCACCTATTATTTCATACTTTAATCAAACTAGCCACAATCATCCATAGGTAGTGTGCCTTTAAATACTCAAAGTCAAGAGTAATTTGTTTAGGCGTTAAGCTACGGCAAAGCCAGTCTCCAACATCCAAGCATGGATCCTCGCACTCCTGGATATGCTCACTTAGGTGGGCTTCATCAAATGTTCTCGGAATTCAACTATGGAGGGCTTAATCGTACCCTTTCAGCGATCGCATGTGCGCATCTCGGCTTCAGTCAGTTCCAGAACTGTCTGGAGGCGTTCGAGCAGGCGATGAATGTCGCGAATGAGACCGGCGACAAACTGCTCGAACTGCAAATCTGCGTCGGCCTCGGTTCTCTATTCACTTTGCTACGGTAAGCACTGGATGCTAGCCATTCCTCTTTCTGTCAATCAGCTCAAGTTCGATCCTTTCAGAGATTTGTCAAAAGCGTTGATTTTTCTCCGAAACGCTATGGCCATAATTCAGTCGGTCACCGTGGACGACGTGCACACGAAATATCGGTACACTCGTTCTTATTCATTCATCTTCCATTCATTTAGTTGGTTGTAAAGAGATGACGTACGTGAGGGCAAAGCAGACAGTTTGAACAACAGACACAGAAAAACCTCTTTTAATTAATCATCGTGGCCGCGACAGGTGTTGTACCGAGCAACCACGGTGATTAACATTTGAATGTAGCCCTGGAGTAGTCTGTGGATTGTTCCAGGTGTACGATACTTTATCATCTGTCGGTGGCCTTGCGAATGCGAGGATCCCTTGTGGAGGCGAAAGAAGCCTGTGATGTGAGTTCGATCCCTAGACTCGAAATGAATCCAGGAAGTTTTATCCTTTCAGGAAGCCTTACAATTAGCATCCGAGACGGGTAATCGAGCACTGCATGCCAGATGCATGTGTAGTCTAGCTGATATCTATAGGGAACTAGGGGAATCAGAAGCCAAGGAGACTCTGACGGTAAGCAAAGCCACTCTTAATTTACTTATAGTACAACATTTGGGCGAAAGTGGTGTAGTGCAAATTCGCTGCTCACAGTAACGGGCGCACCTCAGGGTTAACTGCCTGTCTGGGTGAGGCAGACGCGAGGATCGCATTGAGTGGCTTAGTGGAGGGGAAGGGGGTCGTATTTGATAGAACGACGTAGTATGTTAGGAAGAGTAAGTTCTTTGACGT